ATCAAGTTTGAAATGCTTTTATATCTGATCATCCAAGTAGTAGCCTTTTGAAGAGTAAAAGCATTGTGTGTGCATTCTCCCTCCTTAGGGAGGAAATGTTCGTTACGTTCTAATTCGCTGCGCTCAGACGAACGTAAATTATTTTCTCCTTAAATACTATAGAAATACAACACCAAAGGAATGATGGTTGGATGCTCAGGCAGTCCAAGCTGACATTTATTCATACAATTGACGAAATTACACCATCTTGAGAACGTGAAGATTTCTTTTGTATGTCTTTTAACTGTGGATTCCGCCTTAGACTTCATTAAAAAGGTCAGAAGATCTTTGGTGTTTGGTTTCACGTGGTCGGGGATGTTGTCCCGATAACCTTGAGTGATAAACATCTGATGAAAACAAAAGAAGACAAGACAAAAGAGAACGGAAAACATTTAAAATAAACGCCGCAAACTAAAATACAAGATTCAAGGCAACAACCGGTCTCCGAAAACAGGCCAGCGCCACCTTTCTATCATATGCACAAGCGTTCTATTACCACATAAACTGCCTCAGAATATAAGCTGGAGACGATGAAGTGCTCTCCTAATCCGAGGCCAGCGCCCTCTTGTCGATGTATAATCGGACAAACGTCCTTATACCTACCAAACAAATCTCAACTAAATCATTACTGATCATCCTAAGAGTTAAAGGGACCCGGTGGTCAAGCAATCAAAACTTCATACGGACCGCCAACATTTGCCCAAAAAATCTCTTAGAGCCTAACAACGAATTGGTGTTCCAACCTGCTTCAGAACAGTCCTTCCGCTGAACAACTTGTAATCTATCACAAAACTCAAAAAAAATTTTCTGGCAATAATAGGCCAAAAATACGACGAAGGCCAGAATGGTACGACTAAAGTAGCGACCGCCTTGGATATATACAAATAGTGAATTGTTCTATGGATTAGATTTATCTGGGGCACAACGGGGCAATCTTCCCCTATCAGATTCTGAAAGAAGAAATCCACTCCGCTACAACCTGGATTCCAAAATCTTAAATAAAACTTGTTGATTTTCTTATTATAGAAATTGGAAAAACAGTCCACTGTATGTCGCCCCCAAGTATACTTCAGGAATTCAATAAAGGAAGTTGTGATTTGCCAATCATCTACGTCAATAATACGACTAAAGAAGTCCGCCCTATCAAGCTTAGTTCGGGGAATCCATTGTACTTCCAATTCGATTTCATTATCGAGGCAAAACTGAAAAATCTTAAGGGCTATAACGTGTAGATCTTTCATCATGCTTCCAACTTGGATAATTTTACAAGCATTTTGACTGCCAGAAAACCATTTGATGTAAGCGCCTTTAATGATGAAAATAACGAAAACTGACAATTTCGGGCGGGTGGGGCTACAACTTCGATGTCAGCGTGGAAAGCGAGAGTGAGAGGACTAAATCACACTGAACCGTCTATAAATACTGAAACCACGCCAATCAGGAATACCCAGGGGACACGCCCCAAATGGCGTGTCCTACAGTGAATAGAATCAACAATGAAACAAACTGTTAATGAACTGTAAACTCCGTATACCAGCAGAAAATATATGTCCAAACAAATCATTTAACCGACCTTTTCAAACAGATACCGCGTGCACAACCGAAATGCCCATAAGCTGATGCAATCGTTCTTAAAACCTGTGAGGGCAATTAATTTTGATGAGGGCGACAATGTCTTGGTCACATGAGAAGATACTTTTTGTGGGTGAAAGCAAAGCACGACGGCACAACCGATGAAAAAGCCGTCCAATGGCGAAGAAATAGAACTTTAGAAGTTCAGTTCTGACCCGAATATGTTAACACGTGCGTCACTGAGACATCCTGTAGGACCCTGGAACTTCATCATATTTTGCCTCCATACTCCAAGCGAAGTTTGATCGAATTTTCGGGGTTTCGACTTGAAAAACGTACATCAACATGGACAGAGAATACTTTAGAGTAGTTGTACTCAAAACTGAAAGCTGAATAAACCACATCGTTTTTATATTCCATTCTGGCTTGACAACGATGTATTTCACGAAATTTATCGCGGATGATTTCAAGATTAATCATTCGATCAGTGGCTTCGATTTCAGGCCGTTTTGCTGTGTTTAAGCTGTCCTAGCCCTACCAAATAAAAGGTAGCGCTAGGACAGCTGAAACACGGCAAAACAGCCTCATATTGCAACAAGAACAACACAGACTACTCTGTATGAAGGTAAGACTTTATTTCTTTGATTATTTCACACAACTTTATATTTACGGAGCTCAAAAGCAAGTCCAACCAAACCACTATTCAAACTCTATAATAATACGAGCCTGTGACAGAGCCCGGGCCGCCTGTGATCTTAATATGATTGTGTGGTGTGCGAAAGGAAGTCACGATCGGTTGATTTTCCAAAAGCAAAAGGGTACGCAATCGAGTTCAATTCGAGTCCTCTTTAATAATTGTTGGTTCGATCGATGTAGATGATCCTTTTGGTGAATGATACAGGAGGCCTGTCAAACAGCACAGACGTATTGGAAAGTAATTTAATCGTGTCATTGGTATCTCAACAAATCGAGTACACTTGTGGTACTTACTTTCCTTTGAGTGTTTTAGAGCTTCAACTTCCACTGCAATGTATTTGCAATCTCAGAAAAAAATAAAAGTTCACAGAAGTTTAGGTTTTGGTTGAAAAGGTTTTTCACAAATCCCAGCCAGCTGGAACAATTACTGAAACACAAAATGTCATTATCGCGTTAAGAAAAATAAGATAATGTTAGCACTAGAGATATGATCGTCATAACTTGGGGGAAATGGTTGAATAATTATGGGATTTTATCAGAGAAAAGAAAGTCCTCTTCAATCATCAGTCTTGAAAATATCCTCACATATGGTTCATGACTTAGAAAATTTAACCAAAATCTGATCCCTTTGTTTTGGTCAAACTACCCCTAACCCTCAATAAATGAGGATTGCACCATAACTGGAGACATGTGTACAGAAAAAGAAATACCAGCCTGTTGCCTAAATGTGAATAATATCAAATAACATTTTGAGCTTCCAGCTGTACTAATAATAGTTAATTGAATCAATTATTTTCTCAATAAAAATTATATTTGACTTCATCTACCCATCTTACTGCCCTAAAATCAGATACGCCCTTTGCAACCTTACTTTTCAACCTATTAAATTATCGACAATTATTCCACAGGTGTGCATTGGATTTGAGATGATAAATAGCCAACAAGGTGTGTAGCATTGAGTTGGCTCTAATCATCTCATATCCAACAAGTGCTTGAGGAATAATTTTTTAATTAAAAACACTAAATTAAATTATTAAATTTTATTAAATTTTTTAGCTCTCTTTTAAATTTAAGCTGATGTGTACACTTACCATATTTATAGATTATGGTATATTGGCTCATATACCATGATGGCTGAGCCAATAAAAAGTCTCGAATTGCATTCTCCTATGATCCAGATTTTAGTTATAAGAATTATCTGACAATTTGATGAGAACCTGTACAGCTGATAGTTACAGTGAGCACAAAAACCAAATTATTTCCCAAGGCTTGTATCCCCTGGGAACAAGACTGAATGAAGTCAGATTAAAATAATGAAGAGAGTTTTGTTGACCTCTTTATGAAAATGGATGATTTACTCCAGTTAGATTTTAGAGAAATAAGACTGAAGTCAAAAGGAGACTTTGATAATGCACATTAGTGATAATGAGCATCAACCTGACTGCTATTTAAAGAAATTTATAGTCATTTGCCAGAGGGGTTTGGCTGTGTCAATTTTACAGGAGACAAATCATGTATGAATCACTCAAGAAATTTATTAGCTCTCATCTCGGAAGCTTAAACACTCTTAAGGAGTATAACTGACCATTCCTCCCATTCATTTTCAATGAAATCTGGACAAAACTTCTCAAAAATTTAACTGTAATTTTACTGTTACAAATAGAGCAGACATAACTCCTATATAGCATATTAGTCTAGGCAAGATGTGTACAGTGAACAAAAGACTGATAAGTTAAACAAGAAGTAAGCTTCTGGGAATAATGACAAACTCTTGAATAACAGCTAGCCACAGTAAATATCACAGCCATCCATTCTGTCTTTAATAGTACCAATTATTGGGTCACTTCACCTTACCTTAAACAAAAGAGAACATAACAGTTAATTCCCATCATCAATCTCAAGAAATAAGAACTTCAAGATCATGACACATACAGCAAAGTGAAGTATAACTAAGCTGGTTTGAAATTCATTGTGCACTTCGAAATTTATTTTGTACGGCAAAGCATTCTACTGAAATGAACAGGACAGAATACAGCTGACGCCACTCGTTTCAAATAACAAGTGAACATAAAGAAAACAGCACCAGTTTTACTCATGAGACAAAGCACATGTATTTTGTTGAGGTAAATGGACTAGTTAGACCAAACGCGGTCAGTGTAAAACACAGACTGTGGACTGCAGACCAGGGGTAAAATGCAGACTGAGGGTAGAATATTAACAATAAAAAAACCCAGTCTTAAGGATGAAATAGAGTGTTTGTACCCCTTAAATAATGTCACGGCAGGACTCACGAAACACACAAAGGCCGCTTCAAGCAGTATAAAAGTGTCGTCATCCCCAAGTCACATGGCAGTATAAAATTTCGGAAAACGAGGACGACGATCTCATGGTAATTTTTGATAATTTACGTTAATGTCTTTCACAAATTATGCTCGATACCTACAAGTTTACCTTGCCTTGTTGTTGTGTTGTTGCGTTTTGCTTGCCTTGTCTTCCAAACAATTCCAAGGCCACATGAAGAATTTGAATGCTGAAAGAGTTACTCGGTGCCAGACCTATTCGCAAAAGCACAATTAAAAATGGCCGACATGTAAGATGCATAGCATTACGATCAGTTTGGGTGCTTTTGGGAAATTTGGTTCAACAAAATGGGGAGTTCAAGAACTCGAGGTTGATAATATGTTTGACTGAGGCAAATAAACACCTTTTGGTTTGAGTTTTCGGGATTTTAAAAAAAAATTACGGATCCGGGTAGGAACACTCCGAAGTCTTGTTTCTTATTATTAATATTTTATTTTACCCTCAGTCTGCATTTTAACCCTGGTCTGCAGTCTGCAGTCTGCATTTTACCCCTGGTCTGCAGTCCGCAGTCTGCGTTTTACACTGACCGGACCAAAAGCTAGATAGATAAACAATTAACTGACAATAGTGAGGGATTTGGGGGCCAATATTGATAAATAAGTTTTACTGAAGTTTTTCCTCTAGTTAGCACATGAAGATCGAAAAGGCAATAATAAAAATTTCCTCCAAAACACAGTAAAAAATTAAGCCACAACCGTAGTTGATTGAGGCAAGACCATAACCGTTATTGAGACACATGCCCACCTGCCAAACCCTTGGAGAGCAAAAAGGCCAAAGACGGTTTTCATTGGGTCCTTACTTCGAAAATCCACCAAAACCTCCCGCAAAATAATTCCCCTAGGGTTGTAGTAAGAGCAACTTAAGGGTGTTACAAAAACGAAGAACCTTGAAAACGAAGACCTAAGACCCGGTCTTTGTTTTTGCACTACGAAAACGAAGACCCCCAGTCTTCGTTTTCGTAGTATGAAAAGGAAGACCCTGTAAACAGAAAACCGTAGAAATTACAAGGGTCTTCGTTTTCGTACTACGAAAAGGAAGACCCTGTAAACAGAAAACTGTAGAAATTACAACTTAAACACACGTTAAACAGCAACAACACTTAGTAATATAATACATTACACTTCACGTGTTTCTTTCCATTAACTATAAATCGAAGGCGGCTGGTGTTGGTATTCTGCCTGCTGTTCCAGATTAATAATATGTGTGGTAAGTTTACCCGAGGAAACCCTCGAGAATATCAACATCAAATTGGCTCGCTAGCGAAACAGAACACTGACAGGACGGGCAGTATAATAATGGAAAGAAACGCGTGAAGTGTAATCTATTATATTACTAAGCGTTGTTACTGTTTAATGTGCGTTTAACTTGTAATTTCTACGGTTTTCTGTTTACAGGGTCTTCGTTTTCGTACTACGAAAACGAAGACCGGGTCTTAGGTCTTCGTTTTCGAGGGTCTTCGTTTTCGTAACACCCAGCAACTTAATTCTGAAGCTGGAACATATTTTAAAGCCTTATGCCCTATATGACTGTAAAGAGAACGAAAAGACGATGTTATTCAAAGCGATTTGATGCTTGGGGGCTACCTCAAACTTAACGCAATTTTGCTTCGAGGAACAGTTGAAGTAAAATAAGATCAAAATCTAAATTTCCATGTTTCCTCGGATCAAATATCTCACGACCGTCTCCACTTACAACTTTGTGATTCACAAAAATAAAACGTCAACATCTTAAGACTAACCTTCAAGGTTTGTTGTCTCATGTGTACATTTTAATATCCTCAACCGAAGAGCCAGCAAACACCATGAGTATCCACAGAGTTAGAAATGTTGGTGAACTTGTCATACGCCTTCATTTATCTTCAAAAATTATTACAAAAAGGCGTCGATCGTCCAGTTGAAACCTCACAGAAACGAGTCGAAAACTCTTCAGATGGCGCCGAACGCGAGAAGCTAATTCCACTCGCGCGTACGCAGACAAAATGCCTCTCTGCTACGCGCATGCGTTCGTGGAAACGCAGCTCTTCCGACCGGGACGGCGCACTCCGAAATCCGTCAGAAGGAGGTCATCTCGGGCAGATTTCGGATTACGAAATCCGAGCTCCCTGGATGTTGTATTCGCGATGAAGGCCCCATTTAGCATTTTAGACCCGCAAAACAAAGTAGAAACGAACACATACTTCATGTTCGCTCATGAATTCGAATTAGCCGTAAGATATTTGTTTTTTTTTTTCATTGCTTACCAATTTTACAGACTCCACAAAATTTTTGCGATACCTCCTTTTCACAGATGGCCGATCACAACTCCAACAGGAAAGCGCACTCCGAAATCCGTCAGAAAGAGTTCGTCTCGAGCAGATCTCCGATTACGAAATCCGAGCTCCCCCGATGTTGTCTTCGTGATGAAGACCCTATTTAGCATTTTAGAGCCGCTAAAATAGAATAGAAAGGAACAATTACTTCGCGACCGCTCATGACTTTTCATTAGCGTTAAGATATTTGCATTTTTTTCTCGTTGCTAACCTACAGGACAGATTCCACAAAATACATTTGACGCCTCCTTTTCACGGATGGCCGATCACAACTACAACGTAATGACATCTCCACGAAATCTGTCAAAAGGAGGATGTTAAAACACCGGAAATGATGTTTTGAATACAAACTATCTTTGCATGAAATAAGGCATTGTGAACAGAAAAACATTTTCTTAAATAAAGCTTTTCAGATAAGACATATAGGTATATGGTAAAATCAGTAAAAGCAACCACGCCCAAAAGTACTAAAAATCTTCTGGATTTCTGATGAAATGAATTTAACGCAATTACGTTCAGAGTTTAAGCGAGATATTGTTATTTCTATTATGTTAATTGATTAAAAAATTGTACATTACCTCGATTGGACGGAGATTAAGTATGAATATAATGTAGCAGGCAATATTACTTTTGTCGACTGGGATAATGCGTGACTTGTCTCACCTATTACATGTTCTCTATCTGCGTTGTGCCCGGATATCATTGAAAATATTTTAACGCTACATTGCAGGGATGACAATATTTAGAGGAGGATTTTCAATTCTAAACGCAAGAGCGTACTTAGGGAAAGATCTACAAGAAACAGTTTCTAATGAATACGTTTCAACAGTTCTTTTAGCTAACTTGTACATGGAAAATTAATGCATACTTAGATGTATTTTACTTCGAAGATTATCTTAACAAACGGAAAGTTCAGAGAATCAGTTTTTAATGCTACATGTTGAATTAATGGTTATTTTTCTCTTCCTGCTTAAGGGCTCTTTCGTAGTTTGGAGAACGCCAGTTTGAATTTGAACCTTCCAAAATGGTTGTTGAAATGCATTTCCTGTGAAAAAACTCCTTGCAGCTACAACATTTCACACAACGAGAAGGAGACTTCGAGTCTGACTCTTCCCTCGGCATTCTACACTCGCACATTACCGAGACCTCTTGAACAAAAGGTGGCCTCCCGTCTCAATACTCGGGTCCTTCAGAGAGGGGAAAGGGTCTAATTATCCACTCTCCAGGCTCTTTATAAGATGTTGTCTTATCATGAGCTTCCTGTCGAATGTCAGATTAGAAGGATTGAGGCCATGTAGTAGCGACACCAGAAAAGTGATAGCATAAACTCCACAGTCATCGTAATTGTTTTGCTGTTGCACATTTGGTACAATGACCCTAAAACTAGTTCGATTTCCTTTACAGTGAGCTCTCATCTACCGCTCACCATCCCTTTAAGTGCCTCTAGATCAAATCCCCCTACTTTATTCAAATGTCTACCAAGAAACATCAAGCCCAGGATATTACATGACGGAAAAATACAATCGCATTTGACACAAAGACTGACGTCTCACCTGTGTTTCCAAAACCTTTGTCAGTTGACTTCATACAACAGAATTTGGTGACGGTAGCAGTTTCATACTCTCGAAGAATGAACTCTGGTGACCTGACACCCCTCACCACAGCTGACCTTTCAGACAACCTTCTCTTAAACAATGAACTCGCGATCGCATCTTGAGAAGTTCATTTACGTGCCATCATAGAATTGGAAATTTTGTTTAGAAAGCGAAATTATCGATTGGAATACGGCCGAACACTGAATACGAATTGAGTGAGCAAACAGATACTTTGATATCTCGGACGATAACAAATTTCCCGCCTTTGCGAGTTTGGACCATTCAATTGTCTGGGAGTTAATCGACCGTAATATTTATCTTTCTCTCCGTTTCCGGTGTTATCACATCCTCCTTTTAACAGGTTTCGTGGAGACGTTACTATGTTGTAGTTGTGATGGGCCATCCGTGAAAAGGAGGCATCGCAAAAATTTTGTGGAGTCTGTCAAATAGGTAAGCAATGAAAAAAAAAACTAAATATCTTACGGCTAATTCGAATTCATGGGCGAACACGAAGTATGTGTTCCTTTCTACTCTGTTTTGCGGGCCTAAAATGCTAAATACATACATACATACGTACATAACTTTATTTGATAACCCAGGTTAAAATTTGCGCAACTTTATAGCTGATGTGGACCTGCCTAAACTAATTAGTCTATAATTATATAAAATACAGATATGATACAATTTATAACTTGAATAAATTAAGTAAACCATAAAATTTTAGTAATAGTGAAAATTTGGTTTCATGTTTTGTATAACATTACCTCCCTTTTCAAAATTAATATTCATGACAGTTTGCTTGGATTGTTTTAAGTTATATTTAAAAATAGATAAATTTGGAGAATCTTTAAGATTATCTGGTAGTGCATTCCATGCTAC